TTGAGGGTGGCCAATATGCTGCAGTGGCCCTCGGTGAAATTGAGTTTGACACCCCTGCTCTAGCTGTACTTTACTTTTGTCATAAAATACTTTTGTTTTCTGTCCATGTATTCTGGAAACATTTGTCAAATATGAAGTCCACAGTAGAATAAAATGCCAATGTTAAGCTTTAAAAACTCAGCGAAGTTCATACAAAATGTCACAAAACTAGCCAACTGTATATTTAAGTAGATAATCTACAAACTTTTTAGACTGATGATGTAAGTCACCTAAGAGCAGGAAATTTCAAAAATGCCAGGCAAAGACAGTCTGTTCATTTGTGCTTCTTATTTTTGGTGAATGTCCTCAGGCTCAATCCGCAGGACATCGGATGGCCTTTGTCTCTCTTGTATGAGTCATCCTACGCTAATGAAACAAGCGGCGTGGAGTCTCTGTAAAGGTGAGCGAAAACAAAGTAAAACCTGTCACAGCCGTCAAGCCCCCCACCCCGTCTCCCAAAGATCCTCGCCCCTGCATCCGCAGCAGTCTGGGCTCAGCGAGGGAGAACTTTGTGTTGTGTAACATCGCTGCCACGGCTTCTGCGAAGTGACATTCAAATGAGCCGTCACCGACGGGGACAGAGAGTGGGAGTGAGGAACAAGCTCAGGCCCGGGCAAAATATTGTGAGAGCACGTTAGATGTTGTTGTGACCGAGGAATGAGTTTGGGAGGACAGCAACCAACCTCCATACCCTGACACAAAGTGCTGGGCTAATGGAGAGATAACTCTGTGGAAAGTTAACTTCACACTGATCCCTCCTCCCAATCGCTCCAGCTTTCTATCAGTGGTCATCAGGCTGCCGCTGTGATCAAACAGGTGCCTTCTCCGGAGTGTCCCTCTTATGTAACATCAAGCAGCTGATTGACAAAAACGCTATCGTCGCCATGCAGACTGCAACTCAACCGGACCCCAGAGGGATGGCCACACGTCAGACAGACAACACCGGATCAGGGCAGAACAGAACCAGCCAAGAGAAGACAACAGCAGGGGCCACGTGCGGCTGCAAGAAACCCAACGTTTCAAATTCAAACGAAAGCCTTTCAAAAAGTGTTTATACCTCTTGCATCTTTTGACAATTCCCCATATTGTTGGGATTGTCAGTGAGTTTTGCAAATTATCTCTCAAAACCTCTGAGGCTGAGATTAAACACGGTTTGGTTTTATTTAGAGGTATCTGATTAAAGTGGAGCCTGCACTATTCTGTGTTGGTCTATGGCATAAAATCTTAATAAAACTTGTTGATGCTTGTGATTCAAAAGTGGTAAAATGTGAAAATGTTCCAGGCGTGTGAATGGCGGTATTGTCATGCCGTTCAAGGCAAAAATGTTCATCATTTTAGACTAAAGTCTAAAGTTAGGCCAACAAACTAACATGTGATTCTGCACAAACAAGAGGCTTTAGGCAGAAACTTTTATTCAATCATGAACAAACACAAGGACTTACACATGTGCTTAGATGTTTTTCACATTTTCCATAGCTTGTTGGAAGGAAAAATACCCTCCCACACACATCACCTGAAGGCCGTCTCAGTCACACACATAATCGCTTCAAACCGTTCAACATACAGAACTGATAACGCAATTTTCATCTTCTTTTTCCAATTTAATCTGAAACCAAATGCAGACTTCAAACAAGTGCTGATCAAATAAACAGAAATAATCCATGTTAATTATTTATTTAAAAACTGTGACATTAGATAGCTCGACTGTTTATCCAGTGTTTGCACGAATCATGTGATTGACTGGAAGTGCTGATAATCACAGGACAAAAGATAAAGAGGCTGTGCTGAAAAAAATCATTGCGACCCTGAAGGTTCTCAGCAAGTGAACAATGAACACGCTTTAAACTCCGCGGAAGGGAGAAAAACACTCTCACAGCAAATTATATTTAACGTTTCTGGAATTCTGTAATCAATCTTTCTTATTGGCGCCATGTCTTTTCTCCCATTATCTCCTCCACTTTTCTATCATCACATCTTTGCCTTCGTTGCGCATCGGTAATTTTTCAGGAAGAAAGTGACGCTGCCCCGTCATGCAGCTCGGCTAAATAAGCGCTATTAAAAAGTGAAACTTAAGGATTTTGTCGACTGTTTAAATTTCAAAACATTTAAACAGTCATTTGGAAGACAGAAAACAGAAATGATTTAACCCTTGAAGTTAGGGCAGAAGAAGAAGATATTCAGCCTGCAGCAGCAAAAACTGATATCGAGGCTTCAGCCGCCTGAAGGTAATCAAGATTGATGGCTACTGCCCCCTGGCTGCGGTCTGTCATCACTGCAAGCCAGCAGACCTCATTGGATCAGTTTTTAATCATCTTTTTCACTGTCGTCCTCTTCGTCGTCGTCATTGCCACGTCCGTTCATGGCCTCGACCCTGGCCAGCAGCAGCGGCAGGTTTATGGCCAGGCCCGGCATCTCCTCGTCAGAGTCGTCTTTCGGAGGGTAAAACCGCCTCGCCTTGGCCAAGAAATCTTCACCGATGTCGAGGTAAAGGAGGCGATCCTGCAGAGGTGAAGACAGAGCAAGGTGAACGATTTACTGCTATAAGCTACCACTTACAATAAGTATAATATCATTTGCTATGTTTTTAATTTTAAAGGAACAGCTCAAAAACCCAGAAGAGAATTTCTGTTAAATGTTTATAAGAAGGTAATGTCTAACAGGAAGTTGATAACTCCGGCTGAAGGTAACGAGAGGCCAAGACCAAAGCGAACCACTGCCATCTTAAACTATTTCCAGTCTTAAAAACTGTACTAATGATCTTCCTGATTGATATTGTAATTCCAACTCCCAATAGAAAAATGTAGAAATTAATAAAATAACATTCAGGTCAACTACATTATTTTTTTTTGCATTTTATACAATTAGTATGACCAGACGTGCTTTATCTTATATATATATATATATATATATATATATATATATATATATATATATATATATAATCAGCTTCTGTTTAATAAGCACAAAATTAAAAGTAGCTAAAGTTTTGAAATGTATAAAATAGTGCCTACTCAAAACAATAAGGTGATTTTTGGATTCAAGCTCTATTACGAAGGAACAACAATATTTCGAGATGCTAAAGCTAACCAGCTAAAATGAGATGCTAAATTGGCTGATACGAATTAGCCAATCTAGAAATAATTATCACCCATCCTTTGTTTTTATTTTAAAAACTCGATTGTTTTGAAAATAAAATTATTTTAACTTGCAAGACTTAATTTTTGTTCGTCAAAGATGAGCAGAAATTAACAGTTTGGATCCCTTGGTTTTGCTGCAGAAGTGCAAAGTTGTTCTTTTGGGCCTTCTCTCACAATGATGAACAGATATCTTTCTGGTGGGGCCTCCTTGGAGCTGAAGATGGAGGTCTCCGTGTGCAACGTGTGCAGCATGGCACGTGCTGCCGGGGCGTTACGCATGCGGTCAGCTGAGGCACCAGCAGATACTGTCAGCAGTGAGTCTGCCTCAGCCATAAAACCTGGAACAAAAAGATAAACAACCTCAACAAAGGCAGCTGTGTTCTGCTAATGGTGTTCCTCATATGTGTATCATTTAGTTTTACCCAGGTTCTCTAGGATAGTTTTCCATTTGTCTCTGACTTCTCTGCGTGTGTCTCTCATGGCTTCGATGTCCACACTCAGTCGACGATAGCCCTGCAAGACAGGGTGAAAAAGGAAATATTTTTGGAAGAAATATAAAAATGTTACAACCACTTTAAAGATGTATGCTTTTTGCTCTTCTGTCACACTTACATATTTAAGTTTTTCAAAAAAAAAAAAATCTATATATATATCAAAGACAATCCGAGTAGTTACAAATAGCAATTTTTAATTTGTGACATAAAACATTTGCAATAACTAGTGATGAGTTTTATACATGATTAAAGAAGTGGGCTGCTCTGTAACCTTTGTTTTCTTTTGTTTAGCCCTGAATTTGCTGGTCTGCTGTGTTTCTTTGTCCTGTTGCACAAACAGAGATGAGAGTCAGACTTTCATCTTCAGAGGTTTCTACTACAGAGCTCCATCATTGGTGCATTCAATCTTGAGCTTGAACAACATGAGCCTGACTGAGACTGCTGAGGCCTTCCCCTTGCACCTGATTGGTTGTTCCTGACTAGGTGCAGTGTATTTCTGCAGATGGCAATAGGACCACCGGGAGGAGCCTCAGGAGTTAAATGTTTTTCACAGATTATCTTTCTGATATTAAACTGTCAGGACATAGTGATTATTTTAACATGTAAAATATATAAATGTTTTTTATAAAAACTATATAATTAAGCCTACTTCATGTTGTTTGACAGGTTCTGTTTAAGAAATGTATTGATTCTGGGTGTGGATGGTGACTTACAGGTAATTCATGGCTTAAAAAGGAGGGAAATCATCTTTTCACATAGACTTAGGTAGTTTGTATAAATTGTTTCACTTTAACAAAGGAAAACATAATTTGAAAACTATTTTTATCTACTCAGGCTTTCTCTAAGATTAAAATGTGTTTGAAGCATTTAAGTGTGACAAAAAACAGAAGATATCTGTAGGCTGGCAAAAGCTTTTACAGCACTACATTTATTTAACACATAAAAACATGCATTAAAACACAATAATACATCAGTTGTTTGTATTTGTTAGTGTTTTTTTTATTTTTTGTTCCTTTTTCGATTCCTCTACATACCGTGGATCCAATGCGGGTTTTATTCCTGGCCTGAAGCAGGGTGTAAAGCGTCCGGTCATCATCTCTCTCCGAGTGGCTGGGGTCTCCGGGTTCACTCCACAGGTTGGTCTCCTCGTCTCGTCTCTTCTGGACTTCACGAGTAAAATAATCCAGTGGATCTGGACTGTGTTGTTGAGACACAGCAAAACTCATTCACTGGCAGTAAGAAAGATTCCACGGTCCCTTTCAGCATCAATCAAACGGTTTTAAGATCTGCAGGAGCGGAAAATGATTTCTCTCTTTTTAAATCGCTGTCTTACGTTATGAGAGGTTGCTTTTCCTCTTCTTCGTCCTCGTCTTTGGCACAGCAGCAGCAGCAGAACTGCATGCAGAACCTCTTGAAAGCCGAACCCATCTGAAAGGAACAAGGGTGAACCGGTTGCAGGGTTGCACAATGCCACAAAGTCCAGATGGAGGGTTTGTTTGACCTTGGTTAAAAGATGCTGCACCTTCTTCGCTCCTTCAAAACAACTAGTGGCACTTCTGCAGCTCCGAATCCCCGGTGGATGCTCTGAAGAAATGTTTTTGTTTCTTTTTATTCTTCCAAAAATGACTCAATATTTCAGGAAACAAAACGAAAACATTGGGTAACAGAAAAACAGGCAGCTGCAACAACATTTATATTGTCCACGTTAGTGAATCTTGCATATATGACTAATTTTTAAGATGTAAAACAGGCAGTAAATTCAAAGACAATGAAAATAATAACTTAAGTTCTATCTCTACCTGATTGTCAGCCTCCCATTTTCCAAGATCTCGCCTCGGCTCCACAGTGACTTAAGATATTTGTCTGGGAAAACTCAGGGAGATGGCATCCCGACGACTGGTGTTTCTTATCAGACTTGCATAGAGGACAATAAGAGCACTAAAGGGGCTTTGGCTCTCATCGATAAGGAAAAAAAAAAAAAAAACATTCACACACCCATAACCTCAGAAGACAGTCACAGCACTATCATGTGAGCTGCTTCGTGTCCTGTCCTATGAATTCTGTTCTTGCCCCCGAGGACAACACATCTCTTTTCTACAGCGATCGGACTAATTGTACATACTTTGTGAAATCTACCACGGTGGTATAGATTCAAGGTTTAATTTTATTACAGTTCCATGGACTGTAAATAATTATTCAAAAGGGCAGCAAAATTTGATAACTGTTTTCATTTCTTCTTTAACTTTTAACCCGATTTCAGCAAAGGTACAGTGAATATTGAGATCCAACCTGAAATCGTAACATGTGGAATTAACTCCTGAAACCCAGCCTCATTTGCTACTGTTGGTTTGTGGTTGAAATGTAACCATAAAGCTGTAATGCATGAGGACTCAGTCGCAAGGTGTCATTGTTTCAATACGTAAACACCATCAGCATGCAGAGCAGATAAATACTGTACTTCTCAATAAGACCAAGTCCATTGATATGAAGTGATTCTATATTTAGATCAAACATAATACAATTTCTATATTTCAAAGACCAATAATAGACCAATAACATGGAAATAAATGATTTTGTTTTAGTATGAGCGTCAATTTTCAGTTGATCAATCAAAGATCACTCTTTCATTTTACAATTAAAGAGCCAGTATTATCACTGAGCTTGGAGGTATTTTTATTTATTAGTTATTTTCCAGGCACATAGTGCCGTTTTATATGACAGTCAAGCAGGTATGTTACCTTCGGTTGTTATAAAAGTGCTGTACATATCAAACACAACCTAATAAATACTTGACTTCACAATCTGACACTTTGAAATTGGGTTATCGTCAATTTAATCCTCCCGCAGTCCTACGACGACACCCAGGGAACCTTGGGGATCTTTTACAAGTCTTTGTTTTTGTGGTTTCGGGAACTGACAGGCTGATGGACACCCCCCATCACTTCCCTGTTTTCCCAGTTGTCTGACCGTGACATCTGCTGTTCTCTTCCTGAGCATCGCACTAAGACCGTGGGAAGGTTAAAAAGCTCCTACTCTTTACAACACTTCACCTTCAGCACGGCATCGCAAAAATGTTCCTCTATTATCCCGTTTACAACGCTTCTTCTGAGTATTGGACTGAGATGTAGCTTTCATGATAAGCTCAGCAGATGTGTGGTTCCACCAGGTGTTTGCTAGTTGCTGGTCCCACTATTTTGAAGGAGCACAGCTTTAAGGAGGAGCTTTGAGCAATGCACAAAGTTATCTGGAAGCTCAGATAATGCTAACATATTTTGGTAGCACGGTATGCCTGGTGTGAAACAAACTGGAAGAGCACGATTCCCACTCTAAACCTAATATGTGATGCTGCGGGCCAGTTTCTCTTCCAAATGTCCCTGTATTGTGGTTAGACGGATACGTTTGATAGAACTGGACATTACTAGAAAATTTTCAACACGCTGATGATTCAAACACTGAAAAAAACAGGTTTCAAACCTGAAAAAAAACCCCATAACATTCTGAAAGATACCAAGAGAAAAGAAAGTCAAAGTGGTGGAATAACAAAAAAAATGTTGTGGTGGAACCAGAAGTCCAAAAACTCAAAGTCCTTTAAATATTTTCTGTTAATTAAACAGAATTCACTAACTTTATCACCATCAAACCTCTGCAAGGCAATATTGTTAAGCGTGGAAAATGGCAAAAATTAAGTAAATCTCACAACCAAGAGCTTTGTTGGCAAAGAAATTAGTGAAAAATCGTCCGTAACTGGAAAAATAACGCTTTATGAAAGCTGTTTATGATCTGAAATTTATCAAACATTTGTGCTAAAAGTAGAAAGAAACAACAAAACTTTGGTCTCAATGCATTTGTGAAAAAAAAGAGAAATTTCAAGATAAGTGTAGATGTTTTATTACACATAAGACACTTAAGATTCAGTAAAAACAATTGGTCAGTAGTGATGGCTTTGGATTAACATGTTTGATATTAAAATGAATTACAAAGTAATCTGCAAACTAATATTGAAATAAGTAAACATAAGCGCTCCGAGCAGGCTTCTCGTGCATCAACAGACCGTCATCGGAGCAGAAAATATACAGGTTTGAACGAACAAAAAGCAATAAGCCCAGTATATTATATTACTGCAATGAAGGCACAATTGTTTACATTTTTTTCTTCACTTGAAATTCCTTCTGTTGGAAGCTTTAAAAGTCAGAACAAATACATCCGAGTAATTTTATTATCCAATTATTTCAGACGTCTTGCACAGCTCTTTTTTTCCACCTATATTAACTGCAGCTTCCAAAAACAAAAATTCCTCAAAGTCAAATCCACAAATTTGTTCCTTTAGGAAAAATAACTGAAGTTTCTGTAAAAAAACAAACAAAAAAACCCCCACAGCTTTTTACCCACATTTCAGGACAATTACCTTTGAACCACGATGATTTTTGAGGAGCATGGTACCACCAGTATGCAGACTAATAACACTAAGCTGAAGGAGAAGTTTTTCCATCATTACAAGCCGAGTTTTGCTTCATTATGCAAAGAAATTAAAAGCTTCATCCATTTCTCACATGCATAACGAAGTAAATTGTAACTTCAATTTACTTGTAAATCATGTAATTACTCCAGCTCATTATTCTGCCCCCAACAAGGCCACATGAGGTGATTGGCACAAAAGACAGCAGTAGTAAGATGTCTGATCTACTTTTAGATCGCCTGAACAATCGTCGCTTTGATCTGAAATTAGCTTTAAGATATCACTGTGGAAATCACAGAAAACTGGTTAAAGACCCTGGAACAACAGATTTTACTGTTGTACTGCAGAAAAGCCTGAACCTTCTCCCAATCTACATTAGTCATGTCGCCCTCTAGCGGTGAGCAGGAAGTAGCGCATCCTCTTCCATCTATCACAGTATTTTTTTTTAAATAATAAGAATATGGCTGTTACATGTAGGCAGGAAGATATAAAGAAAGTGCAGAAAAAAAGAAAGAAACGCAGCAAATTAATAAACAATAAACAACAATAGGTTTTGAGCTGCTTCTGTTCTGTGACAACAGTTCTCACAGATCCTCTCCTCATGAAAGCCGCACCTCAACTCAGAACAAATCCCATGTCCTAGTGGGAGTCAGAGTAACAGTCAAAAAATAGTTTGAGGACAATCATTTGTTCTGACCAAATTACTCTGTTTGATCTGAAATATGGCCTCCTATGCTTAGAGGTAAAGTCAGTTCAGTTATGGCAGCTGGCCGCGCATCCCTTCAGCTCAAGAGCTCCACAGGACGACGCTGCCACTCCTCAGGTTTATAACAGGGGTCCAGGATGAAGCTGTTGGCGAAGGCAGGGATTACGTTCAGCGATGCGCTCCCGTAACTGGCCCACAAACTCAAACATGCCGGAAGGTAGGGCCTGGTGGATGAGATAGCGGGGCAGATGGCCCTGAAAAAGGAACAACTGAAGGTCAGATGTTTGACTGAACATATTTACATAGACTGTTCTGTCAAAGATCTCTGCCTTGAAATTTACCTACCTGTTGCCAAACTTCCTTATAAACGTTAAAATGAGCAATAATTCTTCAGGCTTTATGAGGAAGTCCTTAAAGTGCCACTGACGCAATAAAACCTCTTACAACCAACTGATTTAAAAAGATTGACTACTGCGCTTTCATTCTGTGTACACAAAAGACTTTAATAAGTATTTTTCACAGACTACCATAAATTCCATGGCATTGTGAGTGCTGCATTTTTAATCTGTAGTAACTGGCTCAAACGTAATGAGGGTAAATCAAAGCGTAAACAATTAAGTATGCAAACAGTGGAAGTTATGAGCAGTTCCAGCAAAGATTTGAGCGATAAGTCTGCAGCTTTGGAGGAAGAAGCAAGATCAAGTGATGAAGAAGAGGCAGCTGGTTTTACTGAAGGACTGCAACCCTATTTTTTAAATGCAAAAAAAAAAAAAAAAAGACAAAGATTTCTGTGTTCATATTCCCCACCTTAAAATCTGTGTTGAGGATCCAGATAAATGTGCAGACAGCCGGGTTATTGCTGGATTTCAGAACCACAAATCCTCCTGGGTGATTTTCTCCCCTACAACAACCAATAAAAAGCAATCAGGAAGTAAAAAAAAGTTACAAATTGATTTTGATTTATTTATTTCAAACAAGTTTTTATTAGTAGATCAGAGAAAACATGTGCATATATAACCAAGAACAAGATTATTTGTTTACTTTTTTGTTTGAAAAGGAGTAGGAGGAAGTGAACACTTGTATAATCCTACCCTTTAAAGGGATCCACGATTAGTTATAAAAATAGACCTTATTTGGAAAATATTTATCTTAGATGTAAAAACAATACAGTAATAATACTGCAGGTCATTTAATTTTTGTAAATTTTAATAAAATATTGTCACACAAATGTCGCCATGTTGTTTATGCTGCAATGCATTCTGGGTAAATGACGTCATATTGGTCCAACTGCCTGGCTCCTCCGGCCAAAACGGTGATAAGTAACGTTATTAAGCCTTTTTAATTTGAATCGCATTGAAATCGATCAGAACGTAGAAATCACAAGAGACAAGGAGGAGGAGGACCAAACGGAGGAAGAGGACAGACCGGGCCATAGGAGAAATTATCCAGACTTGCCTGACTTTTTTTTCTTTTTTTTTTCTTTTTAAATTACAGCCAACAGGCTGGTGTAATTATCTAAAATTACACCAGTCAAACAAAATACAATAAACAACAATTCAGGTAAAGTTAGCCTTCCTGTGTTTACTCTGAAGATTCCAGTACAGAATGGACCTAATGACGTCATCAACCCATCAGTGACAAAATGGCAACCTCCATGGGTGAAAAATATAACAAAAGATGTATATTTCTGAAGTAATTATGAGTTTTCACAAACAGCAATGTTTTAGTTTATAGGAAAATAGCATTGTATTTAGGTCAACAGGTTCAACTAGTCCTGGATCTCTTTAAAACAATTACTGAAAACAAGTTCTGGTTTACTTCAGTGATGACAGAAGTCCAGATGAAGGCATGAACTGACCTGACATAGCGGTCAGTCGGCGGCCTGGCATCGTGGTTGGTTGATACGCCAGCACTCAAGTAAGAGTTCTGTCTGCGTTCGATCCGTCTCACATTGACATAGTCCCTTAAAGAGATTAAAAATAGAAAACAACAGAAATGAATAAAATTACTTTACTTTGTTTCAGACAAGAAATCTGAAACAAAGTAACAAACAAATCCTTTCAGAAGGAAAAAAGTAAGATCTAAGGAAGCCAGATCTTTGCTGTGCTGATGTACCTGGAAGCCACGATGCCTCCCCCTACGCTAGCAGCAACGTCATGTGTCACCAAAGTGTTGTCGTCAACTCTCTGGAGGATCTGAGGCCAAAAGTACAGCACAGTATTAAGTTTTGGTTTCGCAAAGCGTCTCAATGGAAAATGTTTGAGCTGACAAAGAGGTAAATCACCTGGCAGGAAGTAACTGTTTTGGTCCACTCAACTACTTTCTCTGGTTGCATTATCGTCTCCTGATAGACGCACTCCGCGGGACACTGCATGAAGGCCTGAGCAAATGAAATAAGACACGAAATCTGAGGAATAAAGTAGAAAATGAAAAAAATGCAGAGAAAAACCAAAAAGAGGACCAAACTACACCATGCTTCAGGAGATGATTCTATGACCAAAGCGGACTTAATGCTGGGTCATAAAAAAAAAAAAAAAAGCGTGAACAAGGAGGTTAACGGAGGAGGGGAACATTTGGTAACCCAATGTTATGCTAATAGCACTTAGCATTCATCAGCAGCTCTCTCACTTTTGAATTTAAGATATCACCGTATTTTAGATCCCAAAAATAAACTCTTCAAATATGAAACAAAAATAAATCACAACCGGTCTGTTCATTTTATGAAGGACGTGTAAATTAGAAGGAAATCTTTCAAAACATAAGAAACAAAGACAATACTTTACATTTTGATGTAGAAGCAGAAGTGAAACAGCTCGTGATACTAAAGGTTCCCCTTACCTCATTCCAACTACTACCGCAAACGATCTATAGCCATTTTATTTCATGTCATATCTGATGTAGATGCATTAAGTAAGGAGTCCCTTCTAATTATACTATAATAAATCTTTTTAATTCCATTTTATTGGATTTTTGGTGAATTGACAAATGGCAGCAATAGTAAGATGTCTGATCTATTGTTAACTCATCTGAACAAAAGTCACTTTTATCTGGAATTAGCTTTAAGATATCACTGTAGAAATCACAATTTCTTCCAAATGGGTTTGGGAGAAATAATATAATCTGATAAGATGTTTATGCTTGAATGATTTGTAAATAGTGATTCAGCAATATAAAAAAATAGTCGGGGACAAAAAGTCTGAACTTGCATAGCTCCTTTCAAGCGCAAAAACACAAAACAAGGTTAGATGTGATTGGTGGTTGTTTTTTTTGCATGACAATGAAGCACAATGTTTCATGCTTGCAGTACCTTCAGAATAAAAATCTTTCCGTAGCTGATAGTCTCCAGACTGTAGACGCTGTCTCCCGTGTCCTGTCAAAACACAAAATCCTGTCAGCATCAGAAGGTTTTACTTGAATCCAAACAATTCTATATTTTATCTTTTTTTTTTGTGACATTCTTCTCATCCGAGTACAAAACATCAACCTAGCTATCTTTTTTTTTTTTTTTTTTTTTTTTTACATGGATTTTAAAATAACTCCCCACTTACATTGGTTTATGATTTGGCAGAGTGGCAAAGAGTCATTTCTCTACTTTTGGAGTATCTGGAAAAAGTTAGACTAGTTCTATTTCAAAATCTATGAGACAAAGATACGTAAATATATACATTAAATAAAAACTTTAAAGATTTACTCAAGTCAAAGTATAAAAGATTGCAGCTTGCTTGTTAAATGAGAAAAAGGACAAAATTGTGAAACGGTTAACTTGAAGTTAAGTTTTGCTGTGACAAACCAAAGGAAAGTAATCTAACTAAAGATAATTTTAAAAAAAGCATCTTTTGAATAAATTAAAATTTGACCTTTTAGAGAATGTAAAAAAAGAATCACTTCAATACAGACTTTTCAATTTAGTTTCACACTTTTTCCATATTTAAGAGACTATGAAGAACATTTGAAATTCAGAATGGGGAAATAAATCTGAGCTTTAAATAATGTCATCATTACAAGAAAATGCTGCAAGACAGGAAGTGGGTTTCTCTTTCGGTTTGAAAAGCTACTAAACTGGCTCCATCAAGCTTTACTACGTTACCCGATACCACTAACAATGAGGTGAATGAAAATCTCTCATAAATGATTTTGATACTCTTTTTTTTAAATCATAAATTAAAAAAAGCATTTTTTTAAAATGTATGTTTTATTTGGATTAATTGACCAGTACGTTCATAAAATATTGAATTTATTCCCAGAAATAACAGCTTGAGGGAAGAACCGGAGAGAAGTCCTTACGCTGGTTTTCTCAAGCTTCCAGTTCTCCTCCTGGGCGAGGATACTATCCAGCACAGACATGGCCTCTTGACCCTGCTTGATGTACTCCTTCTCCTGCAGCGAGATCCAGACATGGAGAAATTAACGGGAGGAGGAGGATCATTAAATTAAAAACAGTCAGCAGGCGCTGATGCAGGTACCTTGAAGGTGGCTGGTCTGCTCCCGAGACCCTCCTCATCCAGAAACTCGTCTGAATCTTCAGACAAAAAGATCAGTAAAAAAAATGACTGCTTGCAGAAATTAGGAAAGAAACAAGAACACACAGAAGATGAATGGCGAATACCATAAGACCATCACCTGCAACGGATTCAGGTGGAGAGTAGAACTGTCCGTCAGAAACAGGGCGGGGGTAGAGCATAGGAGCTCTGTCAGCGTTCGCTGCTGCTAGGTAAGCTGAAGTCAAGGGAGGAAATCAGTTAAGGAGGACCTAAATTTCTGTTGAGGTGTGTTTGCACTCGTCACTTTTCTCTCACCTCGGTCATTTTCGGCTTCCTGAGTGAGAACCTTGAAGTCAAGGAACCAGGTTTCCAACCACGCCACCACAAATGAGGTGATGGGTAAAACATAACCAAAGGCGTTTTTGGACAAGAGCTGCTGAGCACAATGAGAAAGAAGAAAGAAAGAAGGGTATAGTTTCACTTTTGTTATGCATATGTAGGCAAGTCCTTACAGCTCAAGATAAGAGGTTTATTATGCTATATCTATTTGGGAAAAGGGCTTGGTGCTTTAGATAGATGGCGTAGATAAGGATGTTTGCTTGATGAAGCCTATGCGAACGTGAGCTGGGAATTTCAAAAAGCAGAAGTGAAAAAGCTGAAGAGGTTTCAGCTGATGAGCGTGCGCTGCTCAAACCGAACTGTGAACGTGCAGCAACAGGAAGGGACTCACTTCAGACACAATGACCTTCACCACGAGGAAGACGCTGGTCACCAGAGTTGAAATCTGCAGGAAATAACTGAGCTCTTATTCATGTCCAGCAGATGAGTTGGGAGACTTTCACTTGAATTTGAATAACTTTGTGCTTTGCTGTGTCTGAGCTGACTTACCGCGACAACCCACCAGTGTTTCAACAGAAACGCTGCATAGCCAATTTGTAGACAGAGGAAACGAAACACGGCAAGGAGCTGACGTGAAGAAGAAGAAGAAGAGGAGGGGAAGCAAATGATGTCACCAAGTGCTAAACTTTGCAAACGCTTTCAACTGGAGGAAATGTACATCCAAGCTCCCCAAAAAGAGTCAAGATCAGAAACTTTAGAGTGACATCAAAGCAATAAGGATTGGGCACTTACGACTATGTCAAAGAAGGAAGTCTTGAATTTATATCTGATGACCTGATCTGCTAGATTATCCAAAATCGGACCGGTCACCTGAAGGACAGCAAGGGAGGAGTCCAAGCGGTTACTGAACAACTGAACTGAGAGAGTTTTGTATCTTAAAACATGCCTATGAATGAACACGCATTTACGTTTAGCTCTATAATCCACAGAAGTGTGATGAAGAGGAGGTCAAAGGTCACAAAGAGACAGAAGGTGCGCCGGACATCAGAGACAGCTTTGCGCGCCACAGGTGGAAGCAGGAGGTACGGGGAAGGGAGGGTCAGCGACGTGGAGTAGGAGGCGTTCAGAGAGGCAATGCCAGGGAGGCTGCCCTCGTCCTGCATCTCTTTTGCCGAAGTGATATTTCTCCTCTGCAAAAATAATGGAAAAAAATAAAAATAGTCACATCAAAGTACCGTATTTTCCAGACTATAAGTCACACTTTTGTTCTCAGTTTGGTTGGTCCTGTGACTTCAGGTGTTTCCACAACTGATAGTCCGGTAGACTCGATTTGGGAACCAAAAGTACAACAATTGTTACGTTTTAAGCAGCTGCAGTTCGCTTTCACACTATGAAACGAACCAAACCCTTTGAGCAGCCTGTTCACTCGCTTGCCTGTGGTGGGGCTGCACCAGGAATCACTGAAGGAAATGACACAAAAAACCTCTGAAGAAGACACTGAGCACAACTTCCTTATTCACGAAATGTAAACTAATGGAATGCCGTCTGACTTCAGGTGTTGTAGGATTTTGTTTGCGTCTTTGAGTAAAGACCACAACCCACTTCCCCCACCAGCGCTAGAGCCATGCGTTCATTTTGGTTGCATTTATCCAGAACGCCCTGCGCTATAGTCCACTTCCTGCTTTTGGAACTGTCTCTGGCATTTTCATATGTATTTGAACGGCATCTGAGTTAATTTCCATCAAAGCAAGATCTAGTCTTTTATTCAGACCAGAGTTCACTTTTTTTGTACGTATCAGAGTTCGATTGTGCATTCACACCTCCCCAAACAAATAAACTTTCTAGGCCAGTGTTTCCCAACCCTGGTTGTCAAGGCACACTGTCCTATATGTTTTAGAGCAGTGGTCCCCAAAGTCGGTCCTCGAGGGTCGGCATCCTGCATGTTTTAGTTCTCTCCCTGGTGGTAATAATCTTTTCAGCATGCCAATGTTCTTCTTAGGCTTTCAAACGAGCCATCACTTGATCCAGGTGCGCTAAACCAGAGAGAGACCTAAAACATGATTTTAATTGCAGTCAGAGGAAAGCATTTGGTAAAACTGAAAGATCATTTTAAATCTTAGTCTGGCAGGACTTCAAAATGTTCAATAATTTTGAGCCTAATTGATGACTTCCAAGTATAAGTGGTAAATAAATTACCAAGTGAAGAAGCCTTCTAGATATTATGCTTTTTTTCAGACAACCTGGAGAAGTGATATTAAAAGATGGGACCAATTACTTTGGCTTATGAAGTTAATTGCTTTCATTGTCCTTTTGCCATCCACATGATCATGCTTCCCACAAATGTGTCCTCTGTTTACATATTACCAGACTTCCTCTTCTTTGGCTTATTTGTTGCTTATGGTAAATTTAACCTGAAACATAGACACAACTGCTTTTAAAAACATCTACGCCATCGTTCAATTTGCAAGGAAATAGTTTCATTTTGATCATTGTTTTTTGGTTGAGTTAAACATGGTCTACTTAACATAAAATATTTACTGAACCATTAAACATTACTTTGGTCTTTGGTCAAGTTCACCTAAATTGTTTTAGGTGAGCTTGCATTGCGATTAAACCAATTTATTTATGCGCTTCAGTGTTCATGACAGACAGCTTGTGATTTAAAAATCACTCACGGGAAGCATGTTATTGTGCTGAATCATTTTTTAAATAAGAATGGTTACTCTATGACATCAGGTTTTAGTAGAGTTGTAGCAGTATAACAGCCTGCTTGTTAGGCCAATGAACAGACAAACATTCAGACCCGAGTGCTTCCTAATCATCTCTGCAGCCATTTCTAAAGACCCTTTGCCCTAGGATTGATAAATAAGCCCAGAACTCTCCAACTACAGCGAAAACCGTTTACATCACAAGAAGTTCGGGTTATATTTAGTGTGAAATCCCATGACTGGACGAGTAGTTACTCGAAGCTAAAAACAAATAACCAACTGTGTGTTGTCAACTAGTAGCAAACTGGCTACTAGTGCGAAATAAAAAAGGGAAATTGCCAGGTTATCAAGCTAAACCCAGAGTAAATTAATTAAACATGCACAAATCAAGTTATATTTATCTAACCGACGCTCACTACCGCCAGCTTTCCCTCTGTTAGCTTCACAAACCTTTTTTCCGAACAAGTTTTGCCAGGTAACAACTTCAAATGTAAAATAATCATATTATATTTCCATGAGGCAACTATAGCGAATAGTGTCACAAATATAAGAGACAGTTAACTTAAACGTACCTTTAGAAAAGGCTCATATAGGAAATTTAAAGCAGTAAACTCACTTGATTTAGCACATCATCGGCTAGCGAGTCTTCCGGAGTTACCAAAGATGAACTGTTGCACCAAGATGCATCACTACACTTGGTGAGTCACGTGACAAATATCAAAGACTCAGGTTTCAAAACGCTGACTGCACAGGCGGTTTTAGTTGTTTTGACAAGAAGTACATTTGTTATAAATAGGGGTGAAAGTAGTTTTGAAATCTTGCCGTATGAATCATCGATATTAGCTTGCTGCAGTTCAATCAAACTCTCAAAGTCAGTATGGGTTTTTCTGGTCACATGATAGGTAGTAGCCTACCACATATGGTAGTCTATTCTGAATAGCATATTTTGTGGTAGTGTACTCAAATGGAGTGTCCTGACTGGCCGCTCAGCTCACCCTCGGCTTCAGCTTGCTCCAAATCTTCTGCAGGTTGCGTTCTGATTTTAAATTTTTCATCTCCGTTTTCCCGTATTTTTCTTTTGAGCAAGGAGTTAATTGTCTTCTGCATTGTCAACTTTTGATTTCGTTTGAATTAAAAACTGTTCCATTGTGTTTTCACGGTTTTTATATGAAGCTCTGTAGATGATGATAGATTTATTGTTCTTTTTATCTCAAGGCGAGCGGCGTATTTTAATGTCTGTACACCACTCGTGTAAAATGCCCCAGTTCATTAAATCAAATGCACCAATCCCCTTAGCAACCTTCATGTTTTGGAAGTTGACGTGCGTATTGCTTGCGAATTCTGACCCATAGTGCAGTCGTGACTGGTTCTGAATGGGTCCTTTACAGCAGACAGCCGTTCTCCTCTCTTCCTGGTAAGTACCAGCGCAGAATATTTTGGTGGTACCGAAATTTACCGGCTTATTTCACCCCTGATTAAAAATAATTTGTTGAATGTTTTACCAATAACAAATAAATTAATCTTACTCATAGTAATCAGAAGCTAAATATTCTTAAATTTCTCTTGGGACATGCAAGTGGGTTCTTTAAAAGTAATGTGAAAGATTACATATAGATATATAGGTATTTTCTCGTGTCCAGACTGTTTACATATTTTAAGTGGTTTCGTTAGAGAACATAATTTGTCCAAGATTCTGCAAGAGAAAAATGAAAATTTCTCGTATTTTCCAGAGGTAGTGAAATAACTTGAGTTTGTGTGATTGTTCCTCTTAATACTGTATTACATTTTTAAAAAATGTAGAACTCTATCGAATTTGAATTGTTTTATCTCTTGGGATAATATATATATATATATATATATATATATATATATATATATATATATATATATATATATATATATATATATATACTCATGGATAGATAACAAGGTGATAGATGAAAAGAAACACACACCAAACACAGACTGAAGTAAAGTATGAGAGAAAAAAAAACATCTTTATTTTGATACCATACAGTTGCTCACTTTAAGACAACCACATCACATTAAGAAACAAGAGTGGAAAACAAAAGAGAAAGGAGGAAAAAATAAGCAAAAATATATTCTTACAAGTTTTTACTTCTGTCTTTTCTTTAAAGTTGGGCCAAGAAAAGTAGGAGGGTCACAGAAAGCGAAGATATGACTGCACACACAACCTACTGCTCATCCATTCAGTTTGGATAGAGGTAAAAAAAAAAAAAAAAAAGATTCCGTTTTATGTACAAACAGCACAATGCGATCACCCTACCCTACCACCGGTTAAAAAGACTTTGAATTAGACTGATTGTGACTTTATTTATTTCACATTTAGTTCAATAAAATATGGTTTTATCTACGGTAAAATACCAACGTAACATTTGTGTACAGAGCTCATTTGACTAATTTACAAAAAAAAAAAAAAAAAAAGCACAATGCCTAGTTTTAGGCACCTAGTGCTGCATGTCGCATGCTTAAAAACAGGCAGCTGAGCTCATAAACTCCCCTTCAGACTAGAAAAATAGCTCTTACAGCATAAAATTATGTGGGAGCAATCCAAAATGTAACATTATAAAAGAGTTAATATACAAAGACCTGTATGAGATTTAAATTTTATTCCAATGAACAATAAGAAATTTAACTTTAAAATATGGAGGCAGTAGATGTTTCTTTTTATTTTTTTTTAAATTAGAGGTAGAATTGCCCTTTAAGTTTAAATGCCAAATCCTACAAAGTGAAATAAATGAAGAAAACATAACATATACACTCATTGAACTGATACCTTTTAGATAAAAGCATGCTTTAGATTTTTGAGAATGATTTGGTTTAATTAAAAATAAAGAATCTAGCTCAAAAATAATAAAAGCAATCTGGTTTTCTCTCATGGGGACTTGGTATAACCTTGAAATATTTCATACAGACATAGTTACAGGCAAATCTTACATTTAAGATTTTGTCTCTTAAATTTAAGAGACAAAATCAATACATCATTGATTATAAGTAAATTAGAGAAAAGGGAGCTGCAGGTTGGACTTCATAACCGTCAAGCTTTTGTTCACCACAAGATGGCAGCACACACTAAGGGCTGATTCGAACAATGCAAGCCTTGATTTCAAAATGAAGCAGAACACGTCATGTTTAAAGACCTCCAAGTGCTTTCACAGATGGTCATAAAATAGCTACTTTGAGTCTTAAATTATACCCAAGAAATCTGTATTATCCGTTCAACCTTTTAGCCTCTTTAAAATAATATTTAGTTCTGAGCTGAAGCATTAACAGTGAAGGGAGGACTTCCACTTGCAGAGCTTTTGGTCACACTGACCTTGGCCCTTTCACGCTCATTATAAAAACGGGCCAGTAGGGCCAAAGTGGCGTCACTGCAATGCTCTGTCAGTAGATCATTCCTCGCCTGCTCATAAGATTTTTCACTTTGAATCCAGCAGACCCTTTAGAGGGTGAATAGTACAAAAGCTTTACTTACTCACGCTCACATGGAATTTTCTATCATTCTCACATCTCACCAACAAGTGAGCCTCCACAAATTTAACCACTTCTTCATTTCTACAAGTTCTTCAGATTATAAACCATTTGCCCAAATCGTCTCTCTAAAATATGTCCTCCACTCTCCCCTCAGTTACACCCCCGACCCCCGTTCTCAATCTTGTCCTCCTTTTCTACATCCTCCTCCTCTTCATCTTCCTCCTGTGGTGCTTCTTTCTCCTTGGTCGTCTCTTTCACGCTGGAAAACCGTTCAGTCGTTGCTGTGTCTTGATGATCTGAAGAGACAAAACCAAAATCAAACAAAGCAATAGAACTTTTTCTTTTCCTTTTATTTTTATCCATCGTGCACCAGAAGCTATATGTGTACCATGGGTTATTTCAGATAAAGCAATTAATTACAAACTATCGTGTGTTTGTTGGTGTTTTATGTTTGTGACTTGGCAGAACTGCTTGTCATCAGCTGTTTTATTGTAAGTTTTGTTTCTTTATTGCACACAATATCTGTAAAGCTTTAATAAATAGTCCAGTTTTCTACATTTGGTTTTAACCCAGTTTCAAGGCAACCAACGGCGGTTCATACAAGAATGGCTCTATAGACAAGTCCTTCTTTCTGATGCCTCACCAAACAACCAAAACACAGAAATCCATCCAAGATTTTGAGGCAGGATAGAATACAGAGCTTTTATCACAAATTTGTAACCTAGTCTCCTTATTTTCAGTATCATGCAGGGGGTAACACCTCAACACATGCAGGAACTAACCTCCCATAAAACACGTGTTCAGTGTGCAAGTGAAAGATAGGTTATACTTTTTATCTGGTACATGAATGCTCCTTTACCCTCTCCTCTACCCCTGTTTCATGTTGCGCCCTACCTACCTACCTATATGACCTATATCAACAGCCATCTTTTTTTAAAATTGAAGAAATTTAGATCCATAGCTAGTCCTTAAAGATCTGGCTCTATAGAAGCCAATAGGTGATGATAAACAAGAGTCTCATCTCTACAGAAAGAAATATATGTCAAAGAACTCAACAGGTTTTACTTTCCAGATGAAAGCCATCATTCAGTAAATGTGGATTTAACTTTTAGATGGCCAACACTACATAACCCTGTTCTTTGGCAAGTCATTTAAAGACACTCAGTCCAGGCAGGGATAAAAAAAAAAGATTATTTACGTCAAAAATCAGTTAACGTTACTCAAACAGTCCTGCAACAAAAACAGATTTTCTTTATACTAATAGACACAACTTGTGTGTTTCTTTAAATTAGGCTAGAAAAACACTGAAAGTACAAAGAGATTTTGGAAACCATACCATCTTCCTAGATCTTGCCGTTTGTCCCTACAGATTACCCACATAACTAACTGACTGCCCTCACAAATCTCAGATTGTCTCACTGACACATTCACTAGCACCTTCATTAGATAGACCTGTCCAAAAGTAAATCTATTCACAACACAGTGAAGACAACTTCAAACTCTGAATCAGAATGGTGAAGGAAAGGAATTTAAATGACTGCAAATAGTTGTTGCTATCAGATGGACTAGTTTGGGTATTTCAGAAACTGTTGATTTACAGGAATATTCAGGCACCATAATTTTTCCTGGTTACAGATAGACCCAAAAAGAGAACATATCCAGTGAGCAGCAGTTCTCAGATGAAAATGCCTCATTGATGGGGGAGGTTAGAGGAGAGTTGGTAAACTGATTCAAGATAATAGACAGGCAAGTAGCTCAAGTAATGACGCACAGTGGAAAATTATTGATGAATGCGCAACATGTCAAACCTTGGAGTAGACGGTGCCGCAGAGGCTACAATTGAAACAGGTTCAACAAAAACTGGTCATTAACAGATTGGAAATATTTTGCCTGTTCCAATGGATTTTGAGTTCATATGGCATTTAGAGGGTTGTGTCAGAATTTGACATAAAAAGAACATTGAAGCACTGATGCATCATGACGTGCATGAAGGGTTCAGGCTGCTGCTTTGTAATGATATGGGGGATATTTTCTTGGCACACTTTGGCCCCTGAGACTTTCTATGTATTATTGGTGACCATTTAGTGATGGGCACTTCCAGCAGGCCAATGCACCAAGGTACAGAACTCAAAGCTGCACAAATTGATTTTCAGAACATAGAGAATTAGTTTACTGTACTCCTGTGGCCTCCGCTGCCACCAGATCTCAATCCAATAGAGCGCCTTTGGAAAGTAGTGGGTCAAGAGCAGTGACTGCATGATGCAGTCATGTCAATATGGACATATTTTTGAATCTATGCCACCAGGAAGTAAGGTCCATTATATTCAATACCAGAAAGATGTAGCTAATAAAATTGCCAGTGAGTCTAGATACCAATCAATAGACAACATAAAACACGAC